GCTGCTTTTTAGCTGAAGCTGCTATTGGGTAACACGTTAATTGTATGTTGCTGCTGACTTCAATGCTGGAGCCCCCTCTCTTCCATCATGTCATGATGTGTACGTCCATCTAAGTAGATTTACCACTTTCCAAAGAGAGCTGATTGCAACTGAATTGGGTATTTTTTTTAGGGGTCCATTTCTTTCTGTTGGACTCTGTTCAGGCTCTGATCTCATGCCTATGAGCTGGGTACCTAAATGCCAGTGTGGCAGCTGGGGTTGCTTTAAAACAAGAGTTAGCGGTCATGATGGAAACCATGAAGAATCAAAGTAAAAAACAAAACAAAACACCTTCTAGTTATTTTATTGAACACGAATGGGTTTTTCTGGTGGTCTGTTTCTCTGCATTCCAGTTTTTCCCTGTAGATTTGTTCAGCCTAAGACTTACTGGTTTTCTTTGTACAGGGTGCAACAACTTGAAGAGGAAAATGGTGAACTCAAAAGTGCAGTCATGCGGCTGAAATCACAGACGGAGAGACTTGATGAGGTGACTAAACTGTGCACTGGTCACATCTGTGCTGTTAAGTACTGTCTGTCAGCTGGGGGGCTCACGAGGGCAAAACACTGCAGCTTGTCCATGTGTGTTGGGTGGGGGGTTCTTGTTTTGTTTTCTTAAACCTTCAATGCCCAAAATAAGTGACTAAATGGAGCTAGATGAACTTTGGGTATCATTATCAAATCTAAAGGAGCATCAGTCAGAGCCAGACTGCAAAACCCACTGTTTTGGGTTTGGTTTTTTTTCAGAGTTCACATTAAAAAACATTGTAATGGCTGGGTATATTTCTGTTCATGATGAATGAGATCAGATTTTAAGGGGACTAACCACTTAAAAAAGAAGAAAAGAATTGAACTCTTAATTATCGCTGCAAACCAGAGGTTTTACAGGGGATATGACTAGCATGAGGGTAGTTTAACTGTGTCTTAAAGAAAAAGCACACTTTTTTTTTTTTGGAAGTTTTTTCTTTTGAGAGAGTGCCTCCAAGAGTGTACAGAAATAGACCCCTTGTCCAGCTCCCCCTGCCAAGTTCATTCAGACCGTTCTAGACAGCTCTCTGACTTCAGTTGCTCTTTGAAACTAAGATTTGATTAAGGATTTGGTCCTCTTAAGAAGTACTTGTTCATTCAACTCCTTTGTCTGAATATGGTTCTGTATGCGGACAGCTGGAAGAAGCAAGAACCCTAGGCTTTTAAGCATCTGCGTGCAACATAGCTCTAGAACAGTGTTTCTCAACCTCTTAAGTAGCAAGTACCCCCTAACTTCTGAAAATTTTAATAAGTACCCCAACATTCAATTTTCCAGGGGATTTTATATTTACAGACTAATGTATGCCATATGTTGGAAGAAGTGCTGTGTATATAAGGCCATGATATGACAGATGTCTGATCTGGCATGGGTAGAGTTGCCACCTTTTACACCAGGGGTGCACAACTCAAGAATGTACCTGGGATAGAGGTGATGTTGGCCAAAGCTAGGAGGGCTGAATTATTCACGAAATTATTACTGGGGAATTTAAAACGCCGTGCATTGCATGGCGCACCAAATTTTTTGCCATATTTTTTGAGAGGAGGAGGAAGGGGAGAGAGAGAGAGGAAAAGAGGGTGAGAGAGAGAGTGTTGGGATACCCACGTACCCCCAGGGGTACATGTACCACAGGTTGAGAAACTATGCTCTAGAACAGCTTCATCTGTACTGACAAATGGAGTCGAGATGTAAAAGGATGGTGGGGAATCACTAGTGTGATGTAAATCAAGGTGGCCATAAAATGTCTTGCTAACCTTAGGAGCGGCAACGTATGTCGGACAGGTTGGAAGACACCAGTTTGCGGCTGAAGGACGAGATGGATTTGTACAAAAGGATGATGGACAAACTACGACAGAACAGATTACAGTTTAATAAGGAGAGGGAAGCTACTCAGGAGGTGAGTGCCACCAGGGCTGTGGGGACTGATTCTGTATCTTTTTATTGGTATAAATAACTGGGCTGGTTAGTTCAAGCAGCAGGGCTGGGATGTAGCATAAACACAGTAATCCTGACCGTATCAATGGAACTTCTCTCATTCTTTTTATAGTGTAGGAGTCTAGAGGCCTTGACCTGGGTCCCCATTGTGTTGGGTACTATGCAAATACATGGTACATGACAGTTCCTGACCCAGAGGGTTTATATTTCTAAATGTTGTCCTCTGATCTCCATAACACTGCACATGTGCTCTTCAAGGTTCCTGTTTTTATGCCTGTTAATAAATGTATCTGCTCTTGCATATGGTGCCTGGGTTACTAAGGGACTGCACTCCATGACCCAGGAGGTCCTTTTAGTTTTGTTTTCTTAGTCTATATAGGGGACAAGTGTAAATACCCATCTGATCAGGACTTCCCAGGAATAAGAGCTGAGGTGTTCGCTGTGATGCAGACAAGCTCAGAGGTATAATGTGTAGCCTCTGTTGCAGTGTAAACCTATGGGTGGGCGGGCAGGTGGTCACTGCTAGAAAGTAGGTGATCAGTTTGTATGCAAACCAGTAGTAATAGCCTGCTGCAGTCAGCCTAACTGTATTGATCACCATGCAGCTGATTGAGGACTTACGGAAGGAACTGGAGCACCTACAGCTGTATAAGCTAGAGTGTGAGCGTCCCGGCCGCGGTAGAAGCTCTTCAACTAGCGTGAGTGAATTCAATGCGAAGACAAGGGAAGTCGAAATGGAACATGAAATTAAACGGCTGAAGCAGGTGAGTGGCAAGGGGCTTCCTAGTAACCCCTGTGTCCTTGAGCGCGGGAGTCAGGAGTTACCCACCGACAGATGCTGTAAAAAGGCCCCATATATACTTTCAATCATGTTCCCAGGAGTCATTCATTGCACCAGGAAAAAATGATCTTGTAATTTGCCCAAGTTACCTTTGCTTAAGAGGTTTGTGAATTCAGTACTTGCAGCGTAAAGTGCAATATGTTGACATGGGCACAGTGACTCAAGGACTGACAGCGGGATTCAAGATTCAGCCTATTGGATCCATTAGGACGGGTCACAGTCACTTGTGCTAAACAAATTACTCCCATTAACTGATGTCAATAGTAGACTGTTATCCTCTGTGATCTGCCCACTCGAGGGAGATCAAAGCACACTGAGTAAATGTCACGTGTGCATGCATGGTGCCTCACTAATACTGAAGGCATAGCAGAGCTTAAGATGGGGTCCTCTTGTGTAGGCATAACACCTGGGGTTTTGCCATAGACAATACAGGTGTGATTGGAACGAGTGACTGGCTGAGAGAAGTCCTAAAAATTGTAAGCTCACAATTTGGTGTATCATTCAAATTAAAAAAGAGAAGAGGAGAGCCTGAAGGTAAGCCTGCAAGCAGAGAAATGGAGTGGATGAACAATGTGAAGAGCCTGCTTGATTGTTAACTAATCTATATATTTTCAAATGATTTAGTATGGAAGCTAATCCACAGTTGGCATCCATAAGCATCTTCTGCAAGACCCTACAGTATTCTACAATATGCTTTGTGGATGTTTAAGTCCTCTGATTTCTCCCCCTCTTTCCCTTGCTCCCCCCTCAAAACACCCGGGCTAGGGACAGACATTACACATAAATGGGCTTAAGTGATCAGAAACTGGTTTAAACATATAATAGAACAGATGTTCAGTGCACATAAACCAGTTTGAAAATAGCTGAAACCAGTTTGAAATAAACCTGGTTCACTATATCATCAGACTTAACTGATTTGATTCAAACTGGTTTATGCAATGTCCATCCCAGACCCCTTTCTGGTTTAAGATAAACCAGACTCCCCCAGCATCCCAGCATGCTCTCTGGGCTGGGCAGGGATCTCCACAGCAAGGCTGGCCCCTCCCCTCTGCTCCCTGGCTGGAGCTCTGGTGGAGACTAGGCACAGCAGGGTCTGCCTGGCTTCCCCCCCACTGCTCACTGCTGAAGCAGGGATCCTCCCCTCTCTCACAGCACAGACCCCAGCCCCACAGACCTTAGGTATGTGGTATGCTAGCTAATGCTGAGAGGTGTGTGTGTGTGCGTGCACATGTATCCAATTTCACTGGGACCAGCAGGCACAGCAGTTACTGCTTAAGGCTTTTTGGAGCTAATCAACAGGTCAGCTGGTAAGCTGTTTAAGAAGAGTTTGAAGTAATGGAGAGAGGCTATTGTTTTGCTAATGGGGTGATAAACACTGTTATCAGCTCCCTGCTGGCTTGCTTGCCTGTCAGTTGATGCAGTATAAAAGGGAAAAGTATAAAGAAGCAGGGAGAGGGAGACTGAAAAGCTCAATATGTTCAACAGATGCACTGCACCCCCCTCCTCCCCTTTGCCTCAGTGCTAGCAGGAGGCTGGGATCTGGCAACACTCCCACCCCTCGAGCAGCCAGTGGGGAAAAGCCTGGGATGGTGCAGGCAGACATCCCTAATTAGGTTGTGCACTGAGGCCACACCTCCTCAGCTCAGCGCTGTGGAAGGATGGAGGGCTGCT